AACAGTATAGACGTAAATATACACACTATCATACATAATAACATACCTCGGCTATATCAGTGGCTTCGTAATGTTGGACAATATGAGCATCAACACTAACCAAATCCACACGATAAGCAACACTATTATTCCTCAAATTAAGATCCGATATACGAATCTTAAACAGGATATTCACACCAACCAGTGCCTTCAATGCGTCAGGCAAGACCATAGCGTCCACCTAATTTGTTAAACACCAAAAAAAAAAAAAATTGTAAAAGAGACAATTAATAACAATAAATATGAATAACAGGGAACAATCAACATCTAACTTATAGTGTACATACATCAGCGACTTCTTCAGCAAGATCACTGGCAGAACGACCAATCAACCCTTGTGCAACAGAGTCGAACAGCAAAAACCGTGTAGCATAACCAGTATAGTCCGACACATGCAACACCAGCAAATACCTGAAACCAACAAAACATTAGGTATATATGAACCGTCCAAACATACAGAAACATATTTAAAAATTTCAAAATAGATAATACCTGGCAGAAACATCGGTAACATTAAGATCACAGGTAAGACAGTTGAACCATGGACGATCATCGCCACCGACACTGTCATCTCAAGGATGAACCTTCTTGTTACATGCATTGCAAGCCACGTAATACCAACGCGAAATCCTATCAACAGCAACAACCTTTGCAAGAGTCACGAAAACACCAACCTAACAAAACTAAATCACACAAATAGAATAAATAACCAATAGACATAGCGAGAACAAAAGAAAAACTAAGAATAACAGTTTCACATACACTGCCATTCTGAACTATATCGCATATAGTCATCCTTCGATTATTGACCAGGAACTCAGCACGAACATCAACAAGAGGTGCATTAGACAATCGGCTAGACAGGTTACGCGTCACTTTAATGTTATCATCCGGAAGGCTATATTTTAAAAACAATTTTAAACAACATCAATAAACCTAGATAAACGTAAACATGACAAAAGAAAAATAAAACAAAAAAGACAATRTACAAACGTACGATGAACGAAACGTGTTAGCTTGTTCGGTTTGTGGATTGAACACGACTTGAGTGGCGCTAAAAGAGTTAGATATACTGTAGACACCTGAGAATCAATAAACCAGATATAAATATATAGTTAACATCACACAACTGACTAATAATAAAAGACCCGATCTCGAACACATAACCTTTCCACTCTCTGACACAAGCGAACCTAACCACACATACGACAACCGAAGGATCAGACGAAGAATCTCGTTTGGACACATCTTTAGCATAATCACCCCATAAGGTACAAGTCAACGATCGAGCCCTGTTTATTTTATAAAACAAAATTCTTT